AAAAATTTGCCGTCCCATCAAACATCATAACATTTTCCACCCCGAGGAAATTGCCCGCCCTTGCCCCCCCGTTAAACACGGCTCTGACACCGTTACGGTCGCACAGCGGAACAGCAGACGAGCGTCGAGCGACCCGTTCCCGTGGACGTGCGAGTGCGCGCGTCGTTGTTTTCGTCCGATCCGAAGCACGGAGTCCGCGGCCGACACGTTTTTTATTTCGTCCGCGCAAATTATACGCCAGTAAATAATAACTGCGCGTGCACGCGATCCCACGGTGTTCGCGCGTGCACTCCGTAAAACGTCAAAACCATCGGAGAATCGACCGCAGCGATGTGCCGGTCGATCTCGCGGCGCACGTTTCCCACGCGGGTCCGATCCTAACCGCGGCGGTTATTGGAACTCGCACGGCCCTTCGACTCGTCGCGTGCAGTTCGCGTACCCGCCATCATCGGTCTCCGAATCGTCCGTGAACGTTTTTTTTTTGCCATTCGACAATGATGTAACGCGATGGTTCACAAGCCAATCACGAATGATACGGCCGACGCGGTTGTGCCGTTCGTACGCGAATCGTACGGCACGCGAGGTGAACGCGCACCACTGCGCTTGTTCGTGTAAGGTCCGACGGTTTGCGAATATTCGTCGAAACATTCAATCCACTGCCTTTACGTGTTTTTCCTTTTTCCTGTACGTCAGCAAAAATATTTATATTAATGTTTCCCCACTTGTCACTCGGACACACTACTCAGCCATCCATAACACAAGAGCATAAAATTAAGTTAAAAAATGTTCTCACCCTGCTCGAAATACTGACATGTGTTATTGCGTTACATCGATATTCTCTGTGCGTGGATCGAGCTTGCGGTCACAGCGAAGATAGATAACAACGGCCATTATTTTCAAACAATATATTTCAAAGCAACTAGGAAAATATTAAAATACGGAGCGAGTCTTAAATATCTATGTAGGAAAGTGAATGATCGGAATACACAATCGAAAACCGGTCAGCCCATCCTGGAGAACATCTTTATCTACATTGCGAACATTTACTCTAGCTCTATTATACTCACCATAGTATACGCCATAGTATATTTAAATATATATATATATATAAATATACACTCAAATTCTTTATGATAATTGTCTCAAGTGTAATGATATTCAAACCAAAACAATGGCATCCAATTCTGTATAATATCTCACCATCTTACGTCCACCGTAAAATATCTGAAAATGAACAAAATAACCGACGGTTATCATTCGAAATCGAAACTGTTCAAACTGAAATCTAAAAATTCCACGTTTAACTGACGTAAATAATCTAATGTACTATGATATGTAGAATAGTATTATGATATGGCTAAACAATTGGCACAATGAAGGTCGAAATTTCAGAACCCCAATCCAAATAGCTAAGAAGTCACAAAATCACTCCAATATTTCAATACATGTACATTAACTAAAGCACAAAGATCGAGTCATGCTAAACCTAATTGATAATAGACATCAGATGCAGCTTAAATTGAAAACGAAACACAATTCAGTTTACGGTCATCCTTCAAATTTGAAAACATTTAGGGAGTGCCCCAATTGTGCCTTCAAAAGAATAATACTAAAAGTTTACAATGCTATGAAGCAGATTAATGGTTAAAGAAACTTGACGTGTAATTATAAATAAAAATCATACCATCACGACAGTAGATCCCGTTTCTAATTCGTTCATTAAATATAATTGTAAACTAACACATTACATTTTTTATTGATCCCATTTTAAATCACTGATGGTATAATGTTTGTCTATTTTAAATCATACATGATATTAACAATACATTTTTATTTATTATACAAAAGTCAGTAAAAAGTTAAAATTTCTTTGTGTTAGGTAATTAATTAATTAGTAAGTTTTGAACAACTTCAGTATTGCACATTTTAAAAGCTTAACCTCCAAAGGTTTTCTGTTTCTAAACTTACATGAACGAATTTGACATATTATTTTTCTTAAATTTAATTAATATTATACGATAATTATATTATATTATATTTAGGTTTCATCCGCTACAAGTACAGCTATACATATTTCATTATTTCAACCAGTATCCCTCGGCACTATAGTACCTCATCAAACGTATTTTTTACATTCCATTGTTAAACATTGATTTTGAATTGGTACATTTTATTAAATATAATTATTTTATTAAAGATAAACTAAGATTAGTAGAATACTTATAAAATATAGGTATTATACACATTTTTCACACAACTAAGATAACACACAATACTACTTATGTCCTAATATCATTAATTTAATCGTAAAAGTATTATGTGAAATACATATCTACAATATTACAATTACAATTACACCTACAAATTCTACAATAATCGTCACATTAAGGACATAAAAAATAATACTATGCAGTAACAAAATAATAAACGTACCATGGTAATGTAAAAAATTTTAATTAAATTTAGCAATTTTTGTACACTTGAATTTATACAAAAGAAACCCAACGGATGAACTGATAAAAAAACAAAAACTAACAAATTACATCTGAAAGTAAAATAATAAAGACAAGAGGTTTTTGGCAAAAATGCCTAAGTTTTATGTACACCATAAGATCAAATATGACACATTTATGTATTGTTGTCAAATTATTTAAGTTGTTGGTTTCAAATGTCAACATGACAAGAGCAACGGACGTTAAATTAAACACTAAAGATTATTTAATTATTTATTATTATTTAATCATCAAATCTAATAAAAATTTAGCATTATAATGTGATGATTTATAACCAAGAAAGTATTTATTTTTTTCTTTGTGTACCAACAATAACGAACTCACGTATATAATAATGATATTACTTCATGCGTAAAATAGAATAAGAGGACTTAAAATGTTTCTGCCAAAACGAAAAGGTTCAATTTTCATTTCTACCAATTCTATCAATATTAATCAAATCAATTCTATTTCTACATATCTATATAAATTTGAGTTTGAGAACCATTTAGTTACCCAGGAGCCACCACGAGAAGACGGTTCTTATTGCCCCCTGAAAAATAGTTTGACTCAATTTTCAGATAAAAGTTAAAAATTTTGAATTTGAATTAAATTTAGTTGGTTATAATTTATATTTACGTAGTCAAATATTTTTAACAGTTCATTAGATTACTTATTTTTTTTTTTTTTTTTTTAATTTATCTTTGAAGATAACTTATTATTTCGAATAATTGTTGCATTTTTTTTTAAAAAATGCCATTCTTGAAATTTTTTTTATTTTTGTATTCGTTTATTGCACTAGTTCTATAAATTTTTTATCGTTTTCTCTATTACATCTAACGTGGTTTTGCATACCTAAATTACAACTGTTAATTTGAATGTATACATTATTTTGAACATAAAATAAAAAATTTGAAAAATTAGATCGATTTATATTTATTTATAATGAGTAGATTATTTATAATTCTATAAAGTATGAAATCAATTATACTTTCAATTCCGAATTATTTTTCCTGAATCCTGAGATACGTCTATGATTTATAGCACTGCAGATAGACAGAGGTTCCCACACACCATCTCGATAATATAAGTATAAATAGATTTGACGGAAACGATGACCGCCCGAATAAAAACGTCACCGCGAAAGTTCAAACGTGTATTTGGCAATTTACTAAAAAAACACGGGTTCACAATGTAAATATTATAAACGTGTATAAATGTACAATCCGAAAAGTGCAAGTTACGAGTCTTACGAACGTCGGTATCAAGATGCGCGCTATGCGACCACGCAAAGAAAACAGTAATAATTCCGATATCCACGCATACCACCCATGATAATATAATATATTGGTTGATTATTTTCTCGACCGATTTTGTTCCGCATTCTTGCTGAATAATACGATAGCCCACTGTTATATAATGTTATAATATTCCGGACGTAGCAGTTCCTACGTATTATTGCGGTGTTCATATTATCAGCACAAGGTGTTCAAAACAAGTGCGGGTTTTCGTTCACGTCATAAATACACGGTCTCGCAGTCCATACAGTTAACGCCAAGCACTGCGTGTGTACAAATGACATCACGTGTACGATTAATAATTGTCTGCGTAAGAATGATCGTGCACTTGCTGGTTGTATAATTCGTTACGGTCACCGCCGTCCGACATTCCATCGTCTCGCGTATCCGTAGATACGTACATACATGTTATGCTAATAGATAGTATCGCATGACGTCCCGTAGACCGCGCGTGGGCGAATATTGACAGTTCGCACCCCATCCACCCTTCCATCTAGCCGGCACGCGAAATAGTCGTAAACGCGCGGCGGGCGACGACGAGAAAAATATAACGTGATATTAAACGTTGTAACAGGATAGTAGAATGAAAAATTGCACCCGGCTGAACCGCGCGTTTTGTGGTGTCGGACGATTAACAATCGCAGACGCATCATAATTAAGGATGGCAACGATACATCGATGTATGGTAACGTTTTACATCGATACAACGTTACCGGTATATCGTATCGATATTATAGCGTCTAACGATATTTTAATGTGATTAGTATTCAGGAAATCACCAATAAATATTATTATATACTATTATAAATTATTTGGAATGTTATATATAAATATTAATACCTATATTAACAATGTAAATAAAATTATTTTCATTATAATTTTCTAGGCGTGTACTGCAATATATAACAATTGCAATTTAAATTTATTAATATTGTTCTGGTTTTATTAAATATTTTATAATTTTATTAGATATACATGCTTTGATTAATCAATTTATTTGTCATTATTCTTGTAGTAAGTATCGATTACAAGTTACGGCTTATGGTTATAAATTGTATTCTAATAAATAGTATAACCTATTACCTATGTCCTACGTGCAAGTCTATAAACCTTTTTTAATATTGGAAAAATGTTCCGATGTATATCGATGGTTAATGATTTTTTGCCATCCCTAATCTTAATAGTGTTTTGATAACTGTATTGTTTGCAGGCGGCGTGACGCACCGGACGACGGTCAGGAGGCAGCGGCAGTTCTTGGCCGACGGATACGATCGGGAGGCGGCCACTAGTACGTAGGCATCGCGCTTACACGCATCTATTGAAATAATAATGATAATAATTTTTATAGTCTCGAGACATTTTTTAACTAATCTTTTACGTGTTCAGGTAGTAGCGTTTGTCCGGAAAGGAATGGACGGTACCCATTAGGCAACCAATGCGACAAGTGAGTTTGGACGCCTCGTCGGGTGAAAATCAAAACATAAATACTAACATGCCTACGCAATACTATAAAAATAATGAAAAGTGACCGAGTCTGAAATTGTATGTAGTACGACACAACAACTAGTGTAATAAATAGCGAAATGATAGGTGTGCTTTGTATAATTTGATATAAATTGATTGTATTAATTGATAAGTTTTTATTGGAATGTTATTTTTCGAGTTTATTAACGGTTATTCAAATAATTGTGAAAAACTGACTTAGAATCACGAAAAAAACAATATTTCTGAAAATGATAATTTTTTTCGTGCCATTTACAGGCAGTTGAAATTCTTAATTTCTGATCCCAATGCTTGAAAATGTTACTCTAAAGTCTTCATAAGTTAGTTTTATTTCAGTGTAAACATTTCGAAAATACACAACTTTTTTAGAGCATTATAATGTTCAAATCTTGAAAAAAACTCGAACCAAATTCTCAAATATCAGCATCAATATTATAGTTAAAAATGCATAAGACATAAATAGCCTATGATGTTTGATTTGACTTAAATAGTACAGTACAATTAAGTACATATTTTAGCCACTAGAACGTGGTTTATATATATATACAAAGTCATCAGCGTATATACACAATATAAACAAAAAATAACCAGTGATCCAATGTTATTATTGTTTTTGCGCCATAATGCGTTTGATTTAATCATATGGTGTCGAAATTCCATGTTGCGAGTGCTAATCATCACGTGAACCATAAACATATAAACCATTATACAAACAGCAATCGGTAGAATGAATACAATTCCCTCGTGGTTGTATGTGTGTAAACACGTTCGTGTTGATTATACGAATTACGAAATAACCAATAAGAGGATGTTATACATTTTATTCATAAATATTGTATATTTTAATTTAACGAAATCTGATCGATTTTTCACAATAGCAATTTTCAAGTAATGTAGTATAATAAATCAATTAAACTACGTAAGTGCGCCATTACGTCTAAACGTAACTAATACATTACATTTGTTCCATGACCCATTCGCTTATTTTTTACTTCACGCGTTTTTTTCAAATATAACGTAAACTCTATAACATGTAATTTATATACATGTATTATATTATCAGATATTTACAATGCGAAAACGGCGTACCAGCAGAAAAATTATGCCCAGACGGGCTATTCTTCAACTCAAAGTCATCGATATTTTCTTACCCGTGTCAATATCCTCCAGAAGTGGATTGCGAGGGAAGAACCCAACTACGTGAGTTATAAAAATTAGAATTTGTGTTGTATGAGATTTCTGCGGAAACGCATTGGTTCAAGTGTTCAAGTTCGTCTGTACATTATTGTAACACCTCGAGACTCGTGTAAATATGAAAATAACTATATGCATACTTGTATTATAATAATTTTTACAACCGTCTTTAGTATTTTAAATATTATAATTACGAATTGCCACTACTGATCCTTTGTTTAATCCTTACAGAACCACCACAGCCTACTAGTGACTGTCCGAGACAGTTCGGTTATTTTCGGCTCGGTGATGAGACCAAATGCGGCCAGTTCCTGAACTGCGTGAACGGCATTGGATACAAATTCGACTGCCCAGAAGGATTGGCGTTCAACGAGCTAACGTTTAGGTGCGATTGGGCCGACCAAGTAGACACGTGCGACGCGGAAGGTAAACATCCACATATGAAAACGCAACAATATATCTCTTGTTTATTATTATATTACTTGGACTACAACGGTCGTTAGTTTTTTTTTTTTTTTTATTATTATTAATAGATATAATGGTTAGTCGTTAAGATTGTATCGACACTCATGGTTTGTCTTATGAGAAAATGACTTCGTTACTATAAATTTCTGGAAGTTATAAAAATGTTGGACGAAAATCAACTGCAATGCCACATCCCTCTGAACGACTAATATAATATAATATAATAATAATATATAATCATGTCTAAATATGTAACGGGTAGAAATGAATCCATAATTATAGCTATTAAAATAATGCGATTATTAAAAACACTTGTCCATTGCATAGACGTTCATGTGATATTCGCAAAAGATCAAATAAAAACTACCATACGGTGCAATGCGTTTCACTACGATTCGGGTTGATAAAAATCCGATTCATGTGGGTGCTCGTTATTTTTGAAGTCTTAAAATTCGAGAAGTGCCACCTGGAAATATTTTTCTATGGTTCTAAAAATAAGATCTACACAACTTGAGCTTTATATAATATGATTAAAAAGGCGCGTTCTAAGCTTAAATTTATAGTTTTTTAGATAGTATCGTATGTTTTAGATTTTTCTAAAAAATTATAAGAAACTTTTTTGTAGAATTTGTTATTTACTAAAATAAGTACATAGTTCTTATATATTTTTTGTACAGTCAATATTTTTTTGTAAAAACTAAAAAAACTATATGAAAGTAACATTTTGTGAAAAAGGCTTATTTTTATGTTTTTTAAATTATCTCTCTAAATATTAAAGGTACGAAAAAATCGTAAATTACTAAAATTGATCCAATTTATTTTTACTAAAATATATGTAATTATACATTTTTACGTTTAACTAACTAACTTTGATTTAATTGAGAAAACATATAAAAATAATTAATTTTTCTCAAAAACAAATTTAATAATATTAAAAACTTATACTTATAGTTTTATTACCGGGATAAGTTCATTTATTTAAGTTAGTCAATATTCTATGAATGGTTTTATTTTGATTTTAATATGATAATAAAAATAAAAATAATATGCCTAGAAGTAAATGCTACTAAGTTTATTTTTAGATTAAAAAAACTTTTTACTATCGGCAATGTAATTGCGTTCATGATAGATATCATGTAGTGATATTTATAATAGTTTCGTTCTAACCTATCAACGATCAGTACGTTAATATTTGTTTTTTATATTATTATAAATATTATATAAGTTTTAAATCATTATTATTTATATTAAAGTATTTATAATGCCATCATCTCGACAAGAAATTTATCTCGTTGGGCATCATAAGCACCAAATAACAGGCAGTAAACTAGCATCAAATGGAGATTGTTTACGGGTTTTGTTTTATAACATGCAAATTGTTGGTTTTAACTTAACCACTAGTGCATATTTAGTCATTGAAGAGTGTAATATTTTTTTGGAAAAAAACTCGGATTCCAACACAAGAGTTCCATAAATGTAAGTTAAAATATTAGAAAGACTAGAATTTAATAGAAACTGTTCAAGCTTTTGGTTTTGACACAACAGCGTCAAACACTAGCAGATTGAAAGGAGCTTGTACTATACTAGAGCAGAAGTTAGAAAGAGATGTATTATATTTTGGATGTCGACATCACATGTTCGAAATTATACTGGTAGAAGTTTTTACAAAATGTAAATTTACCGTATCTGGACCAGACATTCCATTATTCAAGATTTCAGGCAAGTTGGTCCAAAATAAATATTCAAAATTCTATTCCGGGCATAAATAGTACGAAAATACAAGAGGTCTTTAAAGATAATTTTGATGACATTTTAATATCACTAAAAACGGTCATTTCAAAAAAAAACTACCCTGTAAAAATTACCGCGAGCTTTTGAATTTGTCAATCATTTATTTTGGTGATATGCCTCTAGGTGGAAAATATTTTAGGAAACCTGGAGCATATCACATGGCAAGGTGGATGGCAAAAGCTATATACACTTTAAAATTATATCTATTTCGAACAGAATTTAAATTATCAAAATTAGAAGAAAAGTCGTTATTTCAAATTACGTCATTTATTATAATATGTTATGTTATATATTAGATTTATGCTGTTGAGGTCATATCTGACCCATTAAACGACATCAAGTTTCTAAGAAAATTAAAAAAATACGAAGAAATAGACAAAAATGTATCTGAAGTAGACATTAGTAAAATTATTAACAACCTTTACTATTTAACCGATGAGTGTGCTGCATTTGCATTATTTAATGAAAGTATATATGTTAATACAAATTAATGATGGCAAAAAATATAAATGAGCAAATCAATATCAATGAGTCTGAAGTTCACACGAAAAAATTTAACTTAAATATTAGATATAATAACAACTTTTTTGAGCAAACCAAACAAAGAAATTTTAATACATTATGTCGAAAATCAACAAATATATATCAGCGTTTTAAAATTGAAAACTTTTTACACATTCATCCGTCTTAATAGTTAAACACAAGTGCTTACCAAAAAGAAAAAACTATCATTGAACAACTAAGAATTGTCAACGAATCAGCTGAAAGAGGCGTAAAACTTGTAGAAGGTTATAATAACAGTATTATGAGAAACGAAATTCAAAAACAATTTTTATTAAAAGTGAGTTATTTAAACATTGTAAAAATATTTTGTACTTCAAAATAAACCAAAGTTTTGCTTATACTATTTCAGGCGATCAAGAACTATACCGGTTAGGTTATATAGGATCTAGGTATCCTGAAATAACAAAAAGTGCTTTGTCCTCTCCTATGAATATTTAAATACAAGAAAAAAAAGTATTTTTATCACATTTGTTTTTAAGAAAAATTAATTATTTTTATATGTTTTTATTTATTCAATTAAATCAAAATTAGTTAGTTAAACGTAAAAATGTATTTTTATATGTATTTTAGTAAAAACAAATTGGTTCAATTTTAGTAATTTACGATTTTTTTGTATCTTTAATATTTAGAGAGATAATTTAAAAAATATAAAAACAAGCATTTTTCACAAAATGTTACTTTCATATAGTTTTTTTAGTTTTTATAAAAAAATTATTGACTTTAAGAAAAATATGTAAGAAATATTTATTTTAGTAAATAACAAATTCTACAAAAAAGTTTCTTATAACTTTTTAGAATAAACCAAAACTTGTGCGATAATAACTAAAAAACTATGAATTTTCACATTTTTTTTTTAACTTTGAGCTTAGAACGCGCCTTGTTAATCATTTTTTATAAAGCTCAAATTGTGTAGATCTTATGTTTAGAACCATAGAAAAATATTTCCAGGCGGCACTTTTCAAATTTTAAAGAAAAAAATCGTTCATATATAAATAACAGGCAATACTCGATTGAAGTAATTAATTTTTCAATGAGAATCTATTATCAAGTGCACTTATTGGCAGAGCCATGGAGAGAGAAACCCGAGCCCGGAGGGTATATCTTTAAGGTATATTTTAATTTTTTCATTAAATTCTTATCATTAATTGTGTTTAATTTTTAATAATTTTTAGTCCCTAATTTTTGGGCCCTCTCAAAAATTCCTAGCCCGGGGGGATCTTTCCTTACCCCCCTCCTTAAAGTTAGGTCTGCCTATTGTTAAACTTCAATGATATGCACACCAAGTAAATGGACATTACTGATTTGCGTGCACAATTTTCCTCACCGTGTAAATATGTAAAACAGTGAAACTAATCGGGAGTTTTTAATTACTTTAATAGAGTAAAAACCGATTAACAATACAGAATACATTAAATGTATTCTGTATTGTTAATCGGTATTTACTTAATTACTTTTTAAATTTTAAAAAGTTATTAAGTAAATACTCAAATAGATTTTTTTTCAAGTATTTAAGATACTACTCAAATACTTTAATTGTATTGTATTTCAAATACTACTCAAATACTTTAAAAAAATCTTTGGAATACTTTTCAAATAATTATTTAAAAAAATTTTTGGAGTAATTAGGCCATGGTAAACTAACATTTTGCAGAGAAATAGTCGAAAGAGATGCATTATGCAGTTCTGAATCACTTTCATCATCAGTATTATGGCTAGAATTACTCATATTAAAACTTAAAGTAATTGTGGTAGCGAGTAGGTTATAAACACAACTATACAAGTCTTTAAATTATTAAATAAAAATGGTGTAGGTTTGCAGCAATATAGTGATTTGTGAGAAAATCTATGTTATTCTCGTAATCTCATATAACTAGGCAGATATCGTATCTGATATTAACAGTTACCTATCTAATAATATAAAAGGAAATTTTATTATTGAATATCTATTTTTAGAAACCTGATATTCACAAACCTTCGGGCTTTGATTATAGTTGGCAATATTTTTCCAATCAAATATTTTTAATAAAAATAAAATGTTCTAAAAAAAACAAAGTATTCAATACAAATAAGTGTTCAATAGAAAAAAAAAGTATTTAAAATACCATTGAAAATACTTCGTTCTGAAAGTATTTAAAAAATTATTCAATACTTAAAAAAATATTTGAATACAAGTTCATTCAAGTACTTTTACTCAAATACTTTACAGTACTGCCTTCAATTTCCATTTCAATCACAACTTAAGATATCTTTTTCTGATAGATCACTTGTAGTATATCGTATTCCTATCAAAAAATGGTGGAGATGATAAGAAATTATGATAATGTTAATAATAATCTATTAAATTTCAAACTTAAAGTCGAAATCCAATATTACATAAAAAAAAAACGATATCTACGGCATATCTATAATCATCACAAGTATCTATCATTCCGATTCTATACATACTTTTTAAAATATAGTACAATTATAAACTGGGAAAATAACCATTTCAACCAATAAATACGTTTTAAAAATACACAAAGTTATTTTTCTTTATTAATATAAGTAAATTCTTATACAAAATAAAATGCAAAATAAATACTTAAGACTAATACGATTGCGTTTCTTACAGCATTTTTAGGGTTTAGGTGTCCTCCTGAAGATATCAATTCGTTGGATGGTCACAAACTCTATCCTAATGCTGTGGATTGCCAAAAATTTTATCTATGTGTTAGTGGTAGACCTAGGCTATACAACTGTGGAACTGGATTAGGATTCAACGAACTCATCGGTGCTTGTGACATCAGAGAAAATGTAACATCATGGTAAATATAAACTTTATTTTTACGGGAGAGTATTTTAAATTTAAATTATTCAAAAGAAATTCAAATTTCTTCTAACCTTTTTAGGAAATGTGCGAAATCATATTAATAAGATTATGATTCATGAACCGTATTACTACTTAATCGAATATAATAAATTCTTAATGTTTCTTGATGTAAGGTATTCATTACATAAGTAATATATAGTATTGAATTTTCAGTAGGCGTGAATTTAATTTGTATATTCCCAAATTATACGAATCATCAAACATCGGACTTCTCGTTTCGAAAAAAAAATATTTCTATAATATGAAATCGATCTTATTTTTAAAATTATATAATATATATTTGATATTTAAGTCTTTTTTTTAGAGGAATAAAATTCGAACCCTGCAGGTCATTATGAATAATTTTTTATACATATATTACTAGCTAAACCGCATTTATAACTGGTACCGACATATAAATACATAACACAAATAAACATATAACATAAAAATACATTTTATACCTAGATTATGGCATTTATTTATATTGAAAGATTCATATTTTGCCAATCCGTGAAATAGTTGCGTCTCTGCAGGTTCATCCCAGGCAGTGAGCATTTTTTTTTTTTTTTTTTGTTTTTGCAGTTATTTTATCTATATAACAATATTTGATAGAGATTTGTGTATTATTCATAAATCATATGAACAAATTACCAATTCTCAAATGAGATACTAACACTATATCTGGGATGTATAGTATATATTAATAATAACTCATATTAAATAGTATTTTTCAAATTCAGTGAAAAATTACAACTTGATTGCTTTTATTATTTTAGTTACTCAAGGACACCGGACAATTTCCTCCGACTTGGTTAATGAACGGTATTATAAAAGTGTGTATCGGCTACTATCAGTATTAATGGAAGTTACCTTTTATATTTCGACGTGTACACTGTATTATGGAACAAACGTGCACTTGGTATGGCCACCAAGAATGTGTAATAATCTGTAATGTTATTTATTCTTGATTACCATTTGTTTTACTTTTGTAATTACATTTTTATTATAAATATACGTGCCTATAATTATTCGTCAAAATATAAATTATTTTTAGTTTATTATTTCTTTAGAATATAATATAGAAAAAAATATTTAAATACGAAATATATTATAGTACTACATTTTTGTTATTATTTAATGTGTTTAATGTACTTAATGTATATTATGTTTAGTTACTAAATGTTTCTTATTATAAAATTAAAGGTAATTTTTTTTTTTTTTGACGATGAACTATAATGAAATAAATGAAAAATAAATAAATAAATGTTGTTCAACCCAAGAGCTATGAAGCGTGAGTTAAGTTTTATTAGGATATATGTTCACGTTATACTTTCATTATACTCAAATTATACGAATTAATTATTATTTACGAAATAATATACTTTAAATACATATAATTTATAATATTATTGTTTTTATTATCAATTTTGGTTAAAATAAGTAATAATAATTGACCAACAATGTAACTTTTATAGTTAACACACTGCAATGTTATAATAATGAAATAACTTAAGTACAAAATATAAAATAAAAATAACCTTGAAATATTTTTGAAATATATATTTATAAGCTTCAAAAATAAAAAACAAGTAGTCGAAAACTTTAAATGTGAATCAACAAAATATACATAAGTTATAAACCACAAACCAAATTATAACTGTAGAAAAATTATTATGAAAACAAAAATAGAAAAAAGGTGACGTGGAGACACGAGGGAATTGTTAGAAAATATTTCGAACAACTTTTAAAATGGTTGTAATCATAGTTTAACATCTTTGTTATTAATTTATTCAAGTTTTCATTGTATAAAAAAATATTGCAATTCATGAATTTAGTTGCGAATATAGATTCAAAAGTAATGTTGATAAAAAATATGCATTAATGTCAAATGTATAGTATAACAATATTTGTTGGATAAAATACATTTAAGAGTATCCTCAAGTGCCTTGTAATTCCCAACACAACGTCCAGGATACTGAAGTCAATAAAAATATAATGGTATAACAACAAAAACTTAATTGTGAAAAAAAATCCAAGTTCAAAAAAATCTCCCAAAAAAGTTAGTCTATTAAAGTAATGGTATCTGCATTGTAGCCAAGTGAGTTTATGCCTGTTTTTATGTCTGTTTTTATATACATGGCATTTTATTTAATATAATATAATTATAAAATTAAATTTACGCTCATGCTTGTTAGGGCCAAAATATATTTTCCTACAGAATCACACACATGTATATTTTAATAGATATAATATATTAAATAAAAAGAGGACACATTTTTTTCAAATATTTTGACTTTTAGAGTTGTAAAATAGTTCATCACTGATCTTTTGGAACAATTGTGCGCAAAATGAGGATCGTCAATAATTTAAAACCAAATGAAAAATTTTTACTCTACATATATTTCTTACATTACATAAACATTTTTTATACCGTAGATAAACATATAATCTTAATGCTGCACGATGCCACACTGACAACAGTCGTTAAATGAAAACCTACGTATAAGATTTCATGAAAACTCTTGTGATGAATTTTAAATTTCTGTAAAATACGAGTATCTTAAATTAACGATGTTTTGTTTACACAGTTATAAAAATGGGGAATACTATATAAACTTGTGTAATGTTGATAGGAAATCGCCGTCGGTCGCTTCATCGAAGTATAAATATATTTGGATTTCATGGATGGGAAAAATTTGCGCATCTATGATTTGATGCCCACACTACGATATATTAATTATATTTAAATGTACACAGTGGCGTGGTGAAAATAATTTTTTAAAGCCTGTGCCTCAACATAAATAGGCGGGATGCACTAATATAAAGCCATAAAAATAATAAGAGAATGACTTGTCATAATAGAGAGTTAAATATTTACAAATAACACACCGTTAGGAAGGTAGAGGACTTGAAAATTGTACTTATATATAAAATTCCATTCGAAAATATAACTAATACAGGATAAATTAAACTAATTGGGAGAGACATACTAATGCATGTGTATTAATAAATATCAATACTAGAAAGAAAGAAAATGTAAATGAAGTACAACTACAGTCAAACTCAGTTCATGATTTTTTTAATAAAAATATAAAAATCTAACTCAATAACGGTAAGTATTAATACTTCTTTATCTAATCACATTTACTTGTACTTGATATATCCTAAATGCAAAAACTTACAAGTTTAAAAAAGTTTTATGTAGGTAGATATTCAAAAAAGTTGAACAATTGGGTAAAATATAATTTTGTTTTTCTAGTAACTGATAATTCAAATTGATTAGATAAGAGTATGACAGATGAGAAAAATTAATTGAACATTGACTTGAAAAATCATTTAGTGACACCTCTTATCCTAGAAGGTACCATTTAAAATATTTACATTTTTGGCACAATTAAAAAATATTGTGATTTTTCTAGTAAATAATAATTCAAATTAATTTGTTTAGAGTATGATATATGATAAAAGTGAGTTGAACATGAACTTAAAAAGTATTTTAGTGACTTCTATTAATCCAGAAGGTATAGACATTTGAAATTTCAAACCATTACAAAAAAATCATACCTACATATTTCGGATTTTTAAAACTTGTCATTGTAAACGTATTACAGTCCTTATTTTACACTCAGAATCTAAAATTACATTAAAATTTTTTTATTGTAAGCTATTTTAATTGCATAAGCTATACCTACAACATTTTATTTAAATAGATAATATATTAAATATAAATTATGGTTTATTTTAATAAAACTTTTTGTTATTTATCGATAATGCTATAATTATTAACTACAGTTTTTTTTATTCAATGTTATGTTTATAGGATGTTGATTGGTGGAACTAAAAAATAGCCACATTTATTGAATGTTTTTATTAATAATAAGTATTTCCATACTCATGAAAAAAGTCATTCATTATCATAGTAATCAAATAAATTAAAAAAAAAATATTTTTACAGTAAAATATATTATTATTTAAAATGATTTAAGATTGAATTAGTGATCTCGATTTGTTACGTGTATTAATAGACATGGGTACACATAGTTCGTTTCTTAATTATTAAAATGTATTAACACCCGTCTATTTAATTAACCAGAAACCAGAAATTTTAATATGACAGTGAAATATATTCCTGTATATATATTATACAGTGAATACGTTATCGATTAGAGACAATACCATAGACTAAGATTAATAAGAAATCATAACGTTTTTAACAATTATTATTAGCAAATATTAAAATTAAAATAATTATGTATTATTACTTTTTAGTTTTATGTGTATATATATAATATACATATAATCATTCCGGTTTTTAGACCAAGGTTAAACAATTTGGATTCATGTTTCGACGCTTCTATATAGGATTGTCGCAATCATCTTTAAAATTGCTGTAAGCTTATTAAAACAAATTAACCCATTCTTATTCTTGTAAAATATAAAAAACACTTGATGACATTTTATAGAAGCACGTGTTTTTCTCATAGGAATATATCTATTGCTATTTATAATATGAAATATTATAACACTACAAGTTAGTTACCTAGTTTATTTTTTTTTCAAACTTCAACTTTCTTTCACTTGGTTTTTTCCTTACAAAAAACTGAATGTGAAAAAACTGCCTTAAAAAATCTTAACATTATACTATAATATTTTACAAATAAATGTGATTTTTGTTATTAAAATTGTTTTATTCATTTTCGAGTTTATAATAAATTATACGTATGATACAATATATATATATGCAATACGATGCTGCATATTAATTATTACATATTTATTTGATATATTTCAATATTATAATACTACTATACAGGCGCAGATCCAAGTAGAGCAAATAGGACGCACGTCCCCTTCAAAAACCCTAAAAATAGGTTTATGTTATGTATAATATAATATATTGGGTTTTTGATTATTTTTCGAAATTCATTACATTTACTAACTGGAGTATTAATTTTAAAATAAAATAATATAATTTCATATTTATTGTGTAGTGTGTTACTGCACCCCCTCAGTAAAACATTTCTGGATCCACCTCTGCTACCATAATAAGATTTGTATATTATTTTTTAAGTGTTCCTATATAATATACGATTTACACATTTTTTACCAAATAATTCGTAATGCATCAATAATGTTTAGAATTTCAGGTGTATACATTTTTATGTTAATAGTTTCATAATTATATAATAGTTTATAATAGTCGAAATATACTTACCTAACAATTAGGAAATATTTATTCATGATGGTGAACTCTTAAACTAATAACTTAATTCATACATTTGAAAAAAAAAATGTTATGATCACGAACAATTTTAATTGTATTATGAAACTATGTTGTAATTGTATCAAATTTCTCGGCCGGTGGTTCAACACACATTTTATTGCGGCTCCGTTTTACAAATCTTTAAATTAAAAATATAACATAAAACGATATAGTAAGATTGGTGAATGTTATTGTTTATTTAAAAAATGTAATTTTAGGTATAAATTTCATATATATATTTGTTACATTTTAGTCGAAGTAAAAGGTGATTTTTCACAAGCCTTTACTATAAACAGTAAACATGTAAATAAGCCAATCATTCTTGTTCCATTCTTTCACTGTTTATTTAATTAAGCACTTATATTTGGAAAACATAAAATGTTTTCAAAAAATCATTAGCAACTTGAACACAGTTTATGTGATTAATATTTCTGAGTAGCCGGTCATGTACAATACCACACTGGAGTGCGTTATCATAGATATTAATAGGTGAACGGCCACTTAGATTCTTAGTCGACTAGGCCGCTGGTGTTTAAATGATTAACCTAAATGACCAAATAGGACGTAATTGGCCAATGATTGACGTGACAACGGGGCTTCGTTTCACAACAAATCGAACGATGTTTCGAATCTTGTATGTAGTCTGCAAAAATATAAACCGCTTTATAAGACATTCGCACCTCAAAGAAAAATGAACATAATAAATTCTTACCTATCGGTTATCACAGACGTGATTAATGTATTTTTTT